GGGGGGGGGGGGGGGGGGGGGGGGGGGGGGGGGGGGGGAGTGTCCCACTTCACAACCTCACATGGAGAGCTGCCTGGGGTTTATTTGTTTTCACATTGGGGACGTTAATTCGAGACAGCTGCTGGATGTGGACCGTATCTCCAACGTCTCTAATATGTTCACTTGCAAGACGAGGAACCTGGTAAGACCCAGGGTGTGGCTAAAGGTCAGCCGCTGTCAAAACAGAGCTTGCATACTTCTGCTCAGAATTCCCAGGACCGACGAGGGTAGAAGGTCCAAAAAAAGTTAAAAGTGACAGAGCACCGACCTAAATTCAACCCAAAGAAAAACACGCCACTGCAATTATGCGGGGGCTGCCGGTTTAATAGATCTTTGAAGTTTTTGGGGGGAAATTCTAGTTATGTTGAAATGGCATAATTCACCAGGAAGTACACCCCCATAATGTATAATAAAGGTTTGTACTTGGAATATATGTTTAGTCTCTCTGTGGCTATCCGTTACCAGTGTTGGACCACAAGTCTGGAATCAACATCTCACTGACCGTTGAATGATAAGATGGATTTTCAGCGACCGTATCCAAAATCAGAGCTCGACTGCCAGCGAGACCTTCAACCAGACAACATGAGGCACTGTGGTTAAGATGGCCGACAATCTAAACGACTGCCTGTTCCGATCCCAGCAATGGAAAATGCTGCTGTACCCTTGAACAAGGTATAATCACTTAAGCTGAGAAATCATAAATCGCACACACATGCTCGGCCCTGAAATCCAGCGAGATCTGAACTCGAGTCTAGAGTTACAGGTCACAAGTGGGTTCTCTCACTTGTGGGTCTCATTTACTAATGAGGAGGACTTTAATGGCAGGGAATGCAGATCAGCTTTAGGCTTCTAGACTGCAGCGCCCTACGGAGGCCCTGTAACGGGGATTAATTAAACAGATCCCGCTGGGCAAGGAGGAAGCCAGAACCTATTAGATGCAAGGATAGGGCTTTGGACTAAAAGCCAGACTGGGGGGGGGGGGGGGTGAGAGACTTTCATCAAGGAGGGAGACATAGAGTAACAGAAGGGGAAGGAGATGGGGTAGCAGGACTTGTCCTTCGGCCTGTCCAAGTAACAGGTCCTACTGTCAGACCATCATACAAGGAACGTATGATGAGAGAAGGTTGCCAGGTTGAATCCTAGGGTCAGTAGAGTAATGTTACTGTTGGGCCCCTGGGCAAGGCCCTTACCCTCCCCCCCCATTGCTCCAGGGGCCATCTAACCCTAACCCATCTGCTAAGTAAGATGTAAACAGACTTTGGGACTTTGCTCAGGAACGTTATCCACTTTTATTTCTTAATTGTTGCATTATATGGAATAGGTAGCCCTGTTTTTTGCGAAAGCATCGAACGCGTTGCATTGTGGGTGACAGACCGTCAATGTTACGTGCAAGCACAGATGACCAAGATGCCTTCCACAGCCTAGCCGGCGCCCGACAATTAACAAGTGCTCCCCAAATGTCAGACGGCACAATGGGAGGGGTGTGGATGACACGGCAATCAAGAGGGTCGTCTCCGGACTTCGTGTCAAACGGCGACTCCACCACTTCAGATGAAAGGCTTCTGCGGGGTTCACGCTCGTCATCAGCGCAGGATCAAAGAGCAGCGCCGAGACGCCGGTCTTCCAAACATCACTGAAATCCCACCAACTGGCTGGTTTGTCCAGAAGGTATAAACCCCAAGTCATTATAAATGGCCACGCTCAGCTCCCTGCTCTCCTCTGAAGCTCTTAACAGATCCAGCAGAGAGTAGTGGACTCACAGTCACGTCCTTTTCGTTCACAGCCCTCTCGCAGCAAGAAGGTGCAGCACAGCAGTGGAACGTTAGGTAAAGATGACAGTATTGTAGATGGTGCCATGATTCATGGTTTACCACTTCAGAGAACGGCAATCTCACCTAGGAGTATTTCACAAGGAGCTCTGTTACCAACTGCTTAAGTACAGTTATCCAAATAGCAATATAGCAAGTTCAATTGCTGGAAAATATGCGGGTGGGGTGGACAGCGATTAATCTTTATTATGATGCGAGTAATGTTTTTTCAAAATGTTGTTCCAAACTTTATTAAAAGCCACTGATTCCAGAACAAGCTTTGGTTCCCTTTTTGTATGGCGCCGTTTTCTCTGAGGCAGCACCAACCATCCACAAATAGGTACAAAAACAACCCTTTCTGGTGTAATTTGAGAAGAAAGGTTTCTTTAAGAAACTTTAGAAACGATTGATGTGGGGGCTAGAAAAAAAAAAAAAAAAAGCCTCTTCTCAGTGGGTGGGATATTCTGTGGGGGTAGGGCGGGGGCAGGGGCGGGGAATGTACGTTTTCCACCTGTTGACACCCCATGGAGTTCTGTCACCTCCCACTATACAATTTCTAACTGGAAAAGTAACCACTCTGTGTACCTCCAATCTCCTGCTTTAGGGTAGGCCCAAATCAGACAGGCAAATCAACAGGACCCGTGGAACAGGACCCCACTGCCTTTGTAACAGTTCACAAGTGCCACCAATTAGGATCTAAAGGCTTCAGCATGAAGACCTTTGTCTGAATTTCTGCCAATAGAAGCCACTGTACCTTTTTTATATCTGTCCCTTAGTTATATTCTTCTGATAAACCGAAGGTTTCCTTCCTCACATTCACAAGGAGGAACTGCGGTGTTTATTTATTTGGGACCAGGAACATCCAGAATGCTTGGAGGAGAGAGAACAGACCAGCACCCATGGATGCGCAACACACGATAGCAAAGGTCATCATCTTGTTGTTGCTGCTGCTATATCCCTTTATGATAGAGGTTTAAAATCAGTTCTGGGATTTTAAGCACGTTTTAATCACAAGGCATACATGAATTGATAAAAAAAAAAGTACCTTCAGACTTGGATGTCGTAATTCTAGATATAATCTATGAGGCATTGAACACCATCGAAACAAATGTGCCTCAGCTTTTAGGTGACCTACACATGTGTTCCAACAGGATGCAACGCCACCCATCGCCCTGAAAGAGTGAGAAATCCTGCTCATTCTGGTCATCCAGAAGCACATCTCCACCCAGCCCTGGAATGCACTCTGCAAACAAACACTGTTCAAAAATATCAAAAAGAACTTAAGCTATAAGAGCGACTACTATAGGAGGAAGGGGGGGCGGGGAATACAGTTTCACATGCCAGAGGGGAATCCCTCCCCATTCCCAGTGGGAGCTACTGCCATCTGCAGCTCTACCCCCACTGGACGGGGAAATCAGTGTGCACAATACCGGCGATGCTGTACCTTTCAATAGCCTCTGTCCCCCACCCGCCAAACATTTGAGAATTAGTGGAATGTTCATTGTTCTCCAAATTCTATAGAGGGAATTCCAAGATTCTAGAATGACCATGTAGAAACCACTTTTATAAGGTCTTCTGATGCAAAAAATCAAGAGTGCATTCCAAACAACTGTATCCAACAGCCAAAATGTTCACTGTAAAACTCCGGCAGCCCAACATTTACAAGTGAATCCTCTTCATTTGTTTTGGTGCCATGTGTTGTAGAGTGTCCTGGTTTCATTCACAACCAGGTTTGACTTTGGATCTGTAGCTCCTTCACCATTTTCAGACATCTCACCTGCAGAAGTCCACTTGACTGCATTTACTAATGACCATCCTGACAGAGATCCTGTTTGCCACTGAGGATTGTTTTTCAGTAAACATTTCCTTGGTGTTGAAATGCTTTCTTGCAGATGTCCTCCATCTGACAGGGATGGTAATGAAAGAGTCGTGTCTCACGTGCCAGAGGAACCGACTGGCTCGGTTTCACCTCGCTGACGCTCAGATCAAGTCAGACCAGGTCGTGTGAAAAAGACTCACCCGAAATTATGGGTACCTGACGCGTCAGTCATTGGGGAATTTTAGCTGAGCCCTCGGTCACCAAGTTCAACTTTTTGGTTTGTACCAAAGCTGCTAAATGCACCTCCTTTGAAACCAAAATTAAAGTTTCTTCACAGCAAACGGACAGCATGAAAAGAACATTACGAAACAGCGATGACACGTAATAGACCTATGACTGTCTGCCGCTACCCTTCCAGTCTCCACACACCTTGGCGCCAAACCAAAATTACTGCAATTGTCATAGTCGCTACCTCCGTTAAACAATTATAGGATTAAACATCAACCACATCACATACCTCAGACGCATGGTTGCCTACAATGGTCCAAGCATGTAGGAGCAACTGTGGTGCGTTTCATCCATTGAGAACCACACACAGATGGTCCATAGTGGCTGAGTGGTGAATTGGCAAGAGAGGGCTGAACTGCCAAATCGTCTCAATACCTGCCCCCCCATGGAGCATAAACGCGGCCTTAACACAGGAGATTGAGTTGAATAAATTAATTTGATTCCCTTTCACACTATGGCTGCAGGTGGTTCTAAAAACTTGAAAGCACCACAAAAATGCTCATTTTCAGACTCCTGTGAACGATTCCTCAGAAATCAACAAGAAACGAATCCCAAGTCTCCCGCCACATATGTGTGTGAAGTTGGGGTTGTAAAAGATGTGCGATCGGGTGAAGGGCACCGGCTAGCCATCACTCATTTGGGAGAGGCCGTAAAGGCCTGACCCCTGGCTGCTGCACATGCTAGATGAGGGATCTAACCATGTCTGTCTTTCTAAGGAGAGACCTCTGAAGCCCTTAGCACTGGGGGGTGGTGGAAGAGTAGGAAATCTTGATCACGCCTGTCTAGGGTTGCAAAGGGGTGGAAAATTTCCAGAAACTTTCCATTCCATGGGAACTTAAGCTTTCCAAGTTGGCAACTTTCCATGGGAATTAACTGCAATATGGGAATTAATTTTGCAACTCCAGGGCAACAATCTTCCCGTGCACTGCTTTTCCGGCACGTGCAGAGGCCACC